GGCCACAAACTGAAGCACCAAAAGTTCCACATGAACTTGAGGAAAAATTTCTTCCCAGTGAGGGTGCCAGAGCCCTGGAACAGGCTGCCCAGAGAGGTTGTGGAGTCTCCTTCTCTGGAGATCTTCAAACCCGCTTGGACGCAGCCCTGTGCCACGTGCTCTAGGTGACCCTGCGTGTGCAGGGGGTTGGACTAGATGATCTCTAGAGGTCCCTTCCAACCTTGAGCATTCTATGATTCTGTGAACAGCCCCGGCCACCAGCTGCAGCGAAGGACTGTCCCCCTTCCTCCTGCCAGCTGCCTGGGCGAGCAGAGCTGCTCGTGTGACCGCATGGGCCAAGCGGGTCGGTGAACTCGCTGGTTTGGGGTCTCTCTGGAGTTTTTTTGGCCATGATGATGCACAGGAGCAGTGCTGGCAGCTGTCCGCTGCAGTTGGGCCATGCTAAAGGGACAGTGTCCCTGCACCCAGGGAGCAGTGCTTAATGGTGGTTAGCATCTTCTCCAGAGCTTTCCGTGCAGCTTTTCCTAGGAAATCACATACAGAGAAGGCTTGAAGGGTTCTCTGTTCAAGGTATCGCATTCATTTTTGCCACTTATCGGCCTTTTTTGTATAAGAAAGGTCCTGTGTGGCTGACCCTGCATGCTAACTGAGGCTCTGGCTGTTCAGCTCCCTTCCATTTCGGGCCATTACCAGACTCTGCTGCACCAATTTTTTGCCATCCTGTTTTACCTCCAGGCAGTGACCAGCTCGGCAGAGCTGGTTTTAGGGTCTGTTTTCACGTGCAGCACGGGTGCTTTGCTGCTCCTGTGACAAAGGTGGGAATTAACAAACTGGCCTTAGCTTCTGGGAGCTACTTCGGGGAGAAAAAAAAAAACACAGTTTGAAGAATTTAAAGACAAGATGAATGGAGCAGTGTCTAGCAAGCCTTGCTTGCAGTATCCCAAAGAAAGCACGGGCAAAGCACGTGTGCTATAGAAGAAGGAGCTTTCTAGATGCCCAAGCTCATGGTTTCTGCTGATCAGGACACCTCAGTGCTGTCAGATCAACTGGTGAGAAGCAGAACTGGAGCTTGGGGCATTTGAGAACGCACCAAGATGCTCCTGAGAAGAGCAGAAAATGCCCGTGTGGATAAAGCCCCTTGCACTGGGGCAGGTATCACAGCTCCCTGTGCGTGAAGCGAGGAGGGAGAGCAAGGAAGCGGGGAGCAGTGTCCTCTCCTCCACAAAATGCATGATTTGCTCTCTACAATAAATCCTTCCTAAAAGTCATCAACAGAGGACTCCTTGTCCCTGCTAAAGCTGAGGGAAGCTCTGCCATCTGTTCCGATAAAGTGGAGATTTTACCCGTTATGTAAACTGTAAATAATCCTGGTGATAGAGCAGAATAAGGAGGTTGGTGACCTACCAAAGCGCCGTGCTGATTCCGCACGGTGCACTGGACCTGCTGCTTAACTATCCAGCACAAGGCCAGAAATGAAATAGAGCAACTCCTTAAACCCGCTGGCTCCTTGGCTGGGCTTGAGGGAGCCCAAAGGGTTATCTGGGTCTCTGCTCCCTTGACGTGAGCTCGCTCTGCTTACGCGATTGCAGGACGTGTGTGACCGAGGGGTTGCTTCACCCCCCGGATATTGCTAAAGATAGAGCTGGTCACAGCCTCCAGCAGCCGCCCTGAGCACGCGAGAGCGGCCAAGCCGGGAGCTCTGGCGCTGCCTACCAAAGTTTGAGTTTGTTTCCTTTTCCCTGTACGGGAATTTTTAAATGCTTTCTGGGAAGCTTTGGTATGCAGTTGCCTTTTCCTTGGTGACTTTACAGAACAACAGCCTCATGTGACTTCTCACATGCTCCCGGAGCCTGAAATACTGGCTCTGTCACAGGCAGATTTGTTAATGGGGCAAATCTGGTTTGCGATACGCTCTTCTTGCCCGATTCCCCGAGCAGCTTAGTGCTGTGAGGGGGGCCACGGTGCTTGCATGTTGCTGCTCAAGCAGCGAGCAGGTCTGGGTCTGTGCAATAGACCAACTCCTGGGTGCTCTTTCTGGGTTGTGGGGGTTTAAACAGGTATCTCAATACCTGCAACAGGCTGCTGGAAGAAGCTGTGGAAGGCGAGTCAGGCTCCAGCACTGCTAGGAAAGGACCTAACCTAACTCCTGAGTGTTTAAAGATGCGGGTTGTGCTGGGATTTCTGTTTCACGTTAGTCATTTGTGGTGTTGGCTGTTTAAGCCATCTGTCATCCGCACTAGGCCCTTCTGAGCTGAAACGCCGAACAGGCTGTTGCCAGCAGCACTTAAACCCCATGTCCCGGGCTGGAAAAGGCTCCTGGAGTGCAACCCGATGGCAGCTCCATCGCCGGAGCCCGCGGAGCTCCCCGCTCGCCTCCCACTGGCTCTCGTGCTGCTGCTCCCTGCACTGGGGCGCGCGAAGCGTCGGCTCTCACCCCCCATGGCCACGGTTCTGCCTCCAGCCATATCCATCCAGCTGGAGAAGAGGGCCCTTGTGAGAAGAACCCACGATGCTCTTGTTCAAGGGCAGCCTGAGATTTTAACGCCAACAATTTGACAAGGGCCCCCTGGAAGCTCTCTGAGGAAGCTCATCTCGCTGCCGTGCTCCTCTCCTTGCAGATAATAGTGGACGATGACGACAGTAAGGTCTGGTCGCTGTACGATGCAGGCCCGAGGAGCATCCGGTGCCCGCTCATATTCCTGCCTCCTGTAAGTGGAACTGCGGACGTTTTCTTCCAGCAGATTTTGGCCCTGACTGGATGGGGTTACAGAGTTATTGCTGTGAGTATTCCCAGTCCCGGGTTGGAGCTCCATGTATTTGTTTGCCGCTCTGATCAGCGGCTGGCTCGCGGGGATCAGCCTCCCGGTTCCGAGGATCCCGGAGAGCTGGCGCTGTGTCGTGATGCACGATACATGACACAGAGATGCAGGCTGACATCTGTTGTACATTCCCAGGAGTGCTTATCCAGAGCCTTGTGCAGAGTATTAACTTCTCTGGCTGCTTATTCCCTTGTGTGCCCTGAACACCAGTTGTCTTGGTCTCCCGCAGGATCCTTGCTACCCTTAAAAAAAAAAAGTGCATGGATCCGTGCAGGATTTCCGTGTTTGCCATAGGGATGATGTAGTTTTTGGCCTGCACAGCTGCGTGTGCCAAGCCCCTCCTGTGGTTTTGTGGCTTCTCAGCTCCCAGGCTCTGTTTATATGGCGAGAGGGTTGGTTTGTGCCGCGGTACCGATGCTCAGCAGTGTCGCTTTAAGCGCATCGCTGTGTCTCTTGTAGCAGTGAATGATTTTTGTTCCTGTCACCAATACGTGCTCCGAAATCCCTGGAAATCATTCCAGTTTCTCCCTCTGCCGAAGCTGTGGATCAATTCTGCCCTTTCCCAGCTGACCTGCTCAGCGCCGCTTCCCGATCCGTGTTCCGTGCGAGCGAGGGGGAGGCTCCCGGACCTCCCGCTCCGGAGCTCGAGCCTTGGGAGAGGCTTCGTGGAGGGAATTCAGAGCAAAGCTAAGGCTTGTAGTTAGTGTGAACAACCTTCCTCTCCCTCCTCCCCTAGTCATGTTAATGTGTGAATTGTAACTCAACTTCCAGGCAGAAATGTCAGAAAACACCTTTTTTTCTAACTGTGGATAATTTCAGTTGCAGTATCCAGTGTATTGGGATCACCTTGAATTCTGTGATGGATTCAGAAAACTATTAGATCACCTTCAGTTGGACAAAGTGAGTACTCCAAGTCAAACAAATGGATATATAGTTGAATAAAAAACAAGCATTTAGAAGAGCCTCATTTAAGAGCAAGTATATAAAATATGATGGAAAACGCAGCCTAAATATAGAGACTATGTTGCAATTTTATTTTTAAAACTAATTTATTTTCTAAGGTACTCTGAAAACTGTAATGCTTAGCTAAATTCATTGCTACTCTAGACCTAATTTAAAAATTATATTGGTTAATTTTATTTTTTAATGAGAACCTGTGGAAGTTTGTGATTCATGTAGTACAATAGGACAAAATGGAAGTAAGTAAATTAGAGTAGCTGTTGAAGACGGAATAAAATATTTGCTTTTTTTCTTAAGCTTTTCAAGTTCATCTTTCAGTGTTTATTGCATCCTATAAATTACAGAATCCGAATTGAAGAGTTTGATTTTTAAAAAAAAAAAACATGTTATAAGGACGGGAATAAAGCTTGAATGACTTATTTTTATAATAGGTCAGAATACTTAAGGGACACATATTTCAAAATGGTAATATGATCTGATTTTTCTTAAACTAGGTTCACCTTTTTGGAGCTTCCCTGGGAGGCTTTTTGGCTCAGAAATTTGCTGAATACACCCACAAGTCTCCCAGGGTTCAATCCCTGATCCTGTGTAATGCCTTTAGTGACACTTCTATCTTCAATCAGACATGGACAGCAAACAGGTAGGAGAGACTGCGAAAGGCAGTCACGATTCATGGCGCTGGTTTTTGGGTGGTTTTGCTTTGTGGTGTGTTTTGTTTTGCTTTTTTCTCAATGAAATGCCACACTAATTTGGTTGAAAAAGATGTCTAATCTGCTTCCAGTTTGGGTGACTAATGGTGAGGAAAATGCATGGTGGAATGTTACAAGAAAATAGAGATTTTCACAATTGGCGCTGTGGAGTTTGACAGACTAGACTTGTATTTATCTTATTCTTGTGATCTTCTGAGGCCACAAGGTCAGACTTTAGAAACCGTTACTCTTATTTCTAGTAAAACAAAATTTCAAGTGAGAAATGTCACATTTACTGCCTTCAAACTGCACTCATGCGATGGAAGGGAGCAGCTTTGCAGAGTGTTTCTAGAACCTGGCTGCAAGGTTCTCCGTCTCTGTGTTCCTAAAGCTTTTTGGAGACTTAATTTGAAATTAAAGCACAAAGTCTGTGCAAGAAAAGGGAGGCTTACAAAAAAGGGAGGCTTTACAAAAAAGTCTTAATCCTGGGGTCCTGGGTGCTTGAAGATGGTTACACCTTGTTTCTATTTTAGCTTTTGGCTGATGCCTGCTTTTATGCTGAAAAAAATTGTCCTTGGGAATTTTGCCTCTGGTCCATTAGATCCTGAGATGGCCGATGGGATTGATTTCATGGTGGACAGGGTAGGTGGCCGTGTACTCTGCCCGCTGTGGTGACACTCTCTTTGGAGAAGCCCCTTAGCAGCAGACAGCGGAGCCTGTAGATATTTCTGCCGTTTTCCTCATTTTCTCATCCTGAAGTTGAACGCTAAGGAATGGCTCCGGAGCAGGCGATGAGCGTCACGACTGTAGCAATATGATCAATGTTGTGACTAAGCTGTGACTGTGGTTAAGAAGAGACTAAGAAATTCTTAGATGGGAGAGGAAAAGTGCCATGGTGGCTTAAATGTACGCTGTGCTCTGGAAGGAAAAGCCACTCATGTTTTACGCAGAGAGATATTAAGTAGGAACTATAGTTTTGATCTGAAATGCAGTCATATTTCCCCTTAAAACTGAGGTGTTAGCTTGTCTTTGGATGTATTGTTAATATTGCATTAACTTCCCACAGTGAAATATGCTGTTAATTGGTATTTCTTTCTACTGCAAGCTGGAGAGCCTGGGCCAGAGTGAACTAGCTTCAAGACTTACCCTCAACTGCCAGAATTCCTATGTAGAGCCTCATAAAATTCGAGACATTCCTGTAACTATTATGGATGTAAGTGGATTTTTGACATATTCCTTTTAATGCTGCCTAGATAGTCTGTTAGAAACTTAAAAAAATATTTGCAACGTCTTAATTTCATCTTTAGATTTGCCTTCTGCCTGGACAGCACTTTCTTTCTTGTCTTAAATTATCAGTTGGATAATTGGATATTCAGTGCAGTAACACAACCAAGTTCAGGAAACCTTTATACACTGGCATATCTAACTGTTGCTGTCTAAGCCATTTGCTTGATTTCTTTTTCATCAAAACCATTCCACAGTGCAGCCAAGAGTCACTTCTAGAAGCAGCACATATCCAGTGTGATTTGATAAGATAAATCTGATTGCAGCTGTAATTAGCTCCCTTTTCCCTAGGTGTTTGACCAGAGCGCGCTTTCGACTGAAGCAAAAGAGGAGATGTACAAGCTTTATCCAAACGGCCGAAGAGCTCACCTCAAAACAGGAGGCAACTTCCCCTATCTCTGCAGGAGTGCTGAAGTCAACCTGTATATTCAAGTGAGTCTGCACGTTCAGATCTATCTACTAACATGAGTAGCTGGAACAGCAGTAGAAACTCCCGTTTTTGCCCACCCTCATTTCTGAACGTGCCGGAGCTCTGTTTGCCCTGGATCTCAGGTGTCTGGTACAGAAGAACGGGCCGAGTGGCCACGTTCGTTGAGAGTCGCCTTTGGGGGCTTTTGTTTTGTTTCATCTGTCTTTTCCCTGACCTCTTCACGGCAATTAACTTCATCCTCACAATGATTATTCCTAAGTGATTCCTGAAATGTCACGCCGGTTTCAGCGTTATTTTCCATGTCCAACAGATCCACTTGCTGCAGTTCCACGGGACCCGCTATGCAGCCATTGATCCCTCCATGGTGAGCGCGGAAGAGCTGGAAGTGCAGAAGATCAGCCTGCACAGCAGCAGCGAGCAAGAGGAGCAGTAGATTTTGTGACTGTCCATGAAAATGATGAATCAGTTCGGTCTTCCTGCGTACAATCAATTGTTCCCACTCTGCCTTTTCCTTTTGTTAGCCGATTATCACTGTGTGATTCCAACAGGTTCAATAGTCAGTGAACTACCCAAGGATGATAAACCCACAACAGCGTAATGAAATACCTTTAATTTTTAGTTTTTGGATTTCAGGAAGTATCTTTGAAGACTACAGTTTTAAAAACAAAGACATTTTTGCTACCAAAGGCTTCACATTCATGTTCTTAAACAGAACAGTGTTTCTTTTTATGTTTTCATTCAGCTGTATATATTGCCACATGCAGGTTATGTACCAATAAGCGGCCATATTTTTGTTGAATATTGGTTCAAAAGATGTTTAAGTGCCAATGTTGCCACGACTTGTTTGCTTCATATATTGTGTTGAAAGTAACTTTCTATTTGAAATACAGCATTTGAATTTTTAACTTTCTTGCTAGCTGTTGAAATGGTTTTCAATAAAACTTCAATTTCAGCAAGTGCCTCTTGTTTTCACTACTAGAGAGCAGTAGTAGAGACTTCTACAATTGTGATTTGCCTCTCTGGCCACCTGTAGAAGAAATCCATAGAGCCAGTACCTTAGGTCTGGACTCACTTTGTGCATGAAAAAGCTTCACTTACAATGTTGATAACTTTGCCCTGAGTTAGCTCTGAGTAAGAACTGCACAATATTAGCTATAAAGGATGACTATGATGTAATCTCGTGTAAAAGTCTGATTTATTGGAACACAGGAATCTTATATCCTCTTGAAACATTGTAAAAAATAAATACAAAATCTTACATGGCAGTGGTGTTTAAGGAGAAAAAAAAGTGTGCCTTAGTCCTAGGCTTTATAAATAACAAATGACAGACTTTTTGAACGGAAGCAGTAAAATACAAGTATGTTGGTCAGGACAAGCTGCACCCTGATATTCTTGAGCAGAGCATGCAGCTGTGTCTGTTCTAAGGTAAACAAGGACTCAAAGCCATTTTTCATCACAGTTTTTCAAGCAGTAGCCTTCTAGAGATTAAATAATTTGTCTATTTGATTTATTAATAATTCACTGACATGTTAATTTTCTGAAACTTTTTAGGAAGATACTCTAAACCTTTAAGGTTATCATTGTCTAGGTTTCAAGAGAAACAGGGTCAGTGCCTTGATGCTCCCAGCTGAGTGCAAATAGTGCCGAGAACCATTTCTTTGTTAGTGCAGAAGTTGTTCAGAGAAAACAATGAAGTTACAAACAAAAAAAGGCAAGTTGATGGATTAAAAAAAAGAAAAAGTACATAAAGAACACTTAAAAACAAAGCCATTCCCCCAATTAATTTACAAAATTTACAATAAAAAATTTACATACAAAAATGTGTAAACAAATTACAGTAAAAGTGTTGTATTTTCTGATGCTCATTCACAGCGTGGCAAGTGAGGTTTACTTCCTTCACTGCTCTTACGGTAACCAGAACCTGTGCAATAGCAAGTAAAATCTCACTTTATATAAAAGTGGCATTAAAGGTTATTAGCATCTGCTGATGATCTTGTTTCACACCAAGGAGGCAGCAGTGATGCCAACTTTTTATGACACAAGCCCTTAAATTGCAGCTGCCTTTTGCTGGGGAGGAGAGCGAGTGTTTCTGTTGCAGCTCCCAGACAGCTGAAGAAGTGTCTGATGAAGAGCCCACTCCTGCCCTTGGGTGTCACATTGCTGTGCACTTCTTTGGAGAAGCGGAGTCTGCGTTGGCTTTTTTCCTAATGCTTTCTGTAAAGGAAAATACAATATTCTCCAATCTAAGGGATGGGATATGTCTTGATAACATGCTGTAGGCATGTCCTGCTGCACAGAGAGTAAAGGCCAGGGTAAGACGTGTTGGTTTATTTGATAAAATAAGGAAGAGGAAGAAACTACATATGTAATAGTAACAAGATGGACAGTAGATTCCAGGAGTGGCTGTGCTTAGTTTTCCTTGGTGCACGTTGCATGGCAAGGAATTCAGACAGCACTTGCTGTGTTATCTGAAGGAAGACAAAAGCATTACCTGCTAAATCTCTTCTTCCAATCCCCACAAGACCTTCATATAATCCCTTGATAGGATTTTCTCCTGCCGTGATCACACCATGAAGCCAAATAAGCAGCATCCGATGGCCATGTTCCCTGTAACTTTTCGTACCTGGAAAGATTAATCCACAAATGAAATCCCATTCTTTACAGTGCACAGGCCTGACTTGAGCTGATTTCTAAACTGGTGGCTTTGGATTCCTTTCCTCTTAGGAATTTACTGTGTGGCTCCTAAGTACAGGTGTGGTCTGATTGCTAGAAAAATACAATACAACATTTTATGGCAATAAATAATTTCTGCCTCCAGAGCATAGTCTAGCCCTCCCTGCATTGCACAAAGTACAGGATTCCCTACTGTAACCAAACCAGTGGTGATCTGCTTCCAAAACTCAGTATCCTGCTTTTACTGATCTATCTGTTACATTCTACTGGAGACTCTACTGCCTTCCTGGTTTGGCTCCCTTAAAAAAGGAAAAAAAAAAAAAAGAAAAAAAGAACAGCAAGTTTCTCTCTTGTCCTAGAGGACAAGGTTTTTAGATTTTTTACTTGATTTCTGTAGCAAGGATTCACAGATCTGGCACCACATCTGAAGTAGTGAGCAACAGATTGCTACTCCTGTGCTTGAGAGCCCTGGGCTCCCTTCCACAATGAACTCCAGGGAATAGATACACTCACGTTCACCAAATAGAACATTGCAAGCCAATCTCCTGCCTGTTGCAGATGAAGCAGCTGGTTCCCTTCATGTTTTCCTAGTACAGCAGTCTTACGTCTTCGAAATATAGACCAAATGAAGGAAAATACCTGGCTGTGGTTTTTACCTGTCCATTGCTGCTCAATGGCTCTGATGTGCGCGTCCGTGAACTTCCAGTAATGCGCCAGCTTCTTCCACTCACCAGGTTTGAGGTATTTAGTAGCTAATCTCCACATTACTGAGCGAATGTGCTGTGTTTCCAGCCTGTGATCTTGCTTAAAAGTCAAATGTTTTGCTACCCAGGAGTCAGAATCACTGTTTAGGTTGTCCTGCAAAGTCAGACAGGAGTTTCAGTGCGGGATACTGGAGAATTGCTCGATCATCACTGGGCCTTTTGAGGGAGGAAAAGATGCAACCAACCTGCTGTGTCCTGGGACAGTTCGTTAACAAATGCTGTTAATAACAGCTTTGCTGTGCAAGTCCATGTGGATCAGAATTTGCATTTCCACAGTGCCTTTTATCTGGGGCTCCTATGCAGAACCATAAATCTTGCTCCCCTGGGACACAGGCACGTCCTCGTGTTCTTTACGTGCAAGGCTGCAAGGAGGCTCAGTGGTTTTGTGCACGGCTGCAGGAGCAGCCTGTGAGGGGCCTGGCACAGAACATCCCTTCTGAAGCTGCGCCTGCGCCACGGGCCACCTTCCTGTCCCCTCCAGAGCGTTATCAACTTTAGCTGCATGAATCCAACCAGAACTGACTGCTCTGCTAGTGACAGGTAAGGAGATGTGTGGGCAGGCAAGGTGCCTCCCTTCCACGGGGATAAAGCACCACTGTGGAGACTCTCAAGGGCCCAGGCATCTCTGGTGACCTCGGGACAATCACTTTCCTGTGCTGTCCTTCGGTTTCCCCTTCCCAATAAAGGAAACAATTATACTACACTCTCTGCTGTAGGATTTGGAGTTGAACTGCCAAAGTATCTTTGAAAAATCCCTGCTCCCTTCAGCACAGGCTGGGGCTTTTAATAATGGAGGCTCTTATTAAAATAAGGGAAGTCTTAAGTAGACTTGTTGGTTGGCATGGTGAGGGCTTTTGTTTTTCTTAAATAAGGTGAGGAAGTTGAGGCCAGGCAGTCACAGGATGTCCTGCATTTATTTCCCCCTCCACAGTTGGTAATGTGGAGCCTCAGTGGAGAGAAGAAAGCTACATCTGCCCTGGCAAATGCAGAGCGTGGTGTAAGCTGCTCACCTTTTCCCATTTGTAAAACCGATCAGCTTTGATGATCATGTCTGCCACGTTGATGTGATTGCCTCGAGCAGCAACATCCAAAGATGTTTTTCCTTGCTGAAATTAGAGAAGGGGAAAATAAGCTGAAAAAGCTGCTCCAAAGGTGCCATCTCCGTGCCTGCCTGGCAGTCTCCAATACGTAGGGCAGAGCAAGGAGGCAGCGTGGCCTGTGGAGCAACGCATCCAACTGGGATGCAGGACACCAAGCTCCAGCTTGGATGTGACGCAGCTGCACGCGGCTGCCTGCAGCGAGGGGTTGTGCAGATGGGCTGGCATCGTCCCTGCTGCCACGGGGCGCTTCTCAGTGCAGTGGCTGCTGACACATCCTGCAGAACTGCAGCGTGCCCAGCAACACGGGCGTAAGCAGCTCAGAGAACCAGCTCAGCACTTCAGGGCATCCTACCACCTTTTGTGCTGCAGATTTGCTGACACCTGAGAAACTGAGCTCATTTAAGCAACCTCATTAATTCTATAGGATCCACAAACGCACGATCAGAAATGGTCTCCTAGGAGACAGCACAAGTTGGTGGGACTATGGGAGTCTAACTGCTCCCTAGGAATGTGATTTTGGATGAGCGGGTGTGTGTGAGCAGGGGGAGCCGTATCCCTGCCAAAGGATGTAGTAGAAAGGAACAAGACCTCAAAGATGCACCCAGGTGAGCGAGACTCTCCTTCAGCATCTCCCCTGCACACACACAAACTGCCACTCACTGCTCTGCTCATCCAGTCTGGAGCCAAAGCCCTGCACACGGGCTATGAGAGCTGCACCAGTCAGCTACTTTTAAGGCACTAAAACACTTACACTGTCATCCTGGGGATACAGTGCTTATTATTACTCCAGAAGATCTCTGACATTAATGTTTACAATGAGAGAAGTAGAAGTAGCAGGAATTGGAACAACTCTGAGGGGAACGTTTAGTCTTTGTGAACTATTTTCTGCCTTCTAAAGACCCAGTCACTTACTTCCTGGAAAATACACACACACACACAAAAATAACCTCAACAGTCTTTTAAGGTCCTATTCCCTGAAAATATACAGATTTTAATATTATTACTAGTTTTCCTTGAAAATTAAGAAAGACAATGACAAAGATGATCCATATTTTTCTTGCACCTCTCCCCAGTTTTGGGGGGGTAAACCCAAACCCCAAATGTTTGGGATAAACCCCAACATTTACCTTGTCTGTCAGCTTCAGATTGACCCCTGCAATGAGAATCATCTCAGCGATGTCCTGCCTGCCATGCTCTGCAGCGATGTGGAGTGGAGTCTGCTGCCTCTGCAGAAAATGGAAGAAAGGACTAAATTTCAGAGAGGGACGAGCACAAGTCTGGGAGGGAGGATGGAACAGTAGCCGGAGGAAGCACTGGAAGACCTGTCAGCTCTGTCCCCTTTTCCCCTTCACCTCTTTTTTAGGTGGAGACGACCACCCTCCTACCTTGAACTGGGGCTTGAACTCCAAGGGCTAGGCAGACCTGGTGTGTCCATGTCCCAGCACTGGGAAAACACCATGGGAAGCCTCCATGGTAACACTTCAGTCTGAAGAAGAAACCTTCAGCTTCCTGGAGCCACTTACAGGAATCTATTAATTCTCATTATCGAGGCAATTTCAGATAGTTTAGCGAAGGGAGGAAAGCCCTGTGCCAGTTCTGTCTCTGGGACACAGGACCTGCTTAATGTATGCACTGCAATGCACATGCACCTTGGGATTCTTTAACGAGAAGGATCAAATTAAACACTGACAGTTCTGTGGTAGCATGAGGCCAGATGTCACTGCAAGAATGAGTGTTAACTGAAACTGTTACCCATTTGTGAGTGAAGCCCCTCAAAACTAGTTTGGTGAGGGAATCCTCTACCTCCAGCTTGCTTCCCTTTTTCAGTCCCCCAGGCATTTTGCAGATTATCTTCTGGCCTGAAATTTCTCCCATATTCTGCCAGTTGGGTGACAAGAGTCTGACTGTGCAAGGCCTCAGGGACACAGCACAGAGCATGTCAGGTGACCACCTCACTCCAACATGCAGAATCATTACAGGAGTTTCATGCTTCCTAAGTTGCACTTGCAGGTTTCCCCACTTTAAAACATTCCTTACTCCTGTCCTTAAGGTGATCAAAGGGATTCACACACCAAAGGTGAAGGAGAGGAGCTACAGCCTTACGTTATCCGGAATGTCGAGGTCACACTCCGCATCAATGAGGATCTTCACCACGGCTGGGAAGTTCTGTAGCACTGCAATGTGTGTAGCTGATGCATTTTGCTGTGGAAAAAACACACTGGCATACAAAATGGAAAAGACATTGAGATCCATGCAGTGGTCACATAGAGCATTTGAGATTCAAATGTCCTTCGTGGACAGAGAGGTTTGACTGAGGCCTTTTGTTTTGGTGATCACAGTGCCAGAGAGGGCTATGCAACAGGATGAAGGCCCAGCTGATGAACAGGCTAATGCCTGAGTACTCTAGCAGGCAAATGCATCCATACTCTTGTGCCCTGCTCCTTTTCCATCACGAGTGCTGGCTGCTAACAGAGTTCAGGATCTTTGCACATGCCCTGTGCTTAAGAGCTTAGCTCATGGCACTGAACAGACCGTGCTTTGTGCAGCCTGCCTGGAGTAAGGCAGCTGCCAGCTTGGCCTGGAAGGAGGCTTGGCAATATTGCAGAGCCCTACGGAAGCACTGGTCCTTGCTCTGCACCCCTCAACAGCTTTACAAACTGGCCTTGTCTCTTTGTAAGTGATGAGAGCATTGAAAGGGACTTACGTGATTAACTGCATCCCTGTGGATTCCTGCACCCAGGAGGACCCTGGCTATCTCCTCATGGCCGTGCAGCGCTGCGTAGTGAAGGCAGTTCATCCTCTTCTGAGAGGCACATCAAAAAGACGGGTATTAGTCAAGGATGCCCTTTCAAAGAGAGGATCACTGTAGCCCTCTGATCTCCCCGTTTCCCCTCAGGAGCTGCAGATGTTACAGACTGTCCTCACAGATCTCCCAGCTTCCTTCCTTCCTGCTAGAACTCCATGCTCTGCTACTAAAAATAACTACAGAGACTGTCTCCATAGCCATCCCAGTCCCAGAGCAGTTTCACCTGCCTCTTTGTCTATACAAAACCTCACGTTCTTTTCTCAGGGTTCTCTGTAATTTTTTTTCTGATGTGCTGGGACCACTTGGCCTTAGCCTGTAGCAGCTGCCCATCCTGGGAGGCCTCAGGTCTGGACCCAGATGCACAGGGCAAATCCACATTGCCCAGTTCTCACTGAGTTAGTGAGATTTGGCTTCTCAAATGCCTGAATAGCTTGAGCCTGGGAGAGCTCCCAGGAGAACAGTTATACTGAGGTCAAGTGGCAGCAGGAGCCCGACAAGAGGAGGGGAATGGAGTGCCAGGCCAGCTCCAACTCTCATAAGCAAGGTCTGAAACTAAGATTTTCTGCAGTTGCCCTGCCACGGTGGCAACAGAAATGCAAAGGAATCTAAAAGTGTGAACAGTCTCTGGGTCCAAGAGGTTCTTCCTGCTGGAAACTACGTGATTTGGCTCAGGGCTCCTCTGTGCTACCATTATATCAGGCAGCAGCCCTCCAGAAGACAGCCAGAAGCTACATGCCCCAGAAGCTGCTGGCTGCCCCTGGATGCCTGGAGCGCAGGCTCTGCAGGTGCTGCAGTCACACTATGGAAATGTGTCTGGAAAGGGAATCACCTCCACGGAGCTCACCTGGGTTTGGGCATTAACGTCCGCCCCTGCCTCCAAGAGCAGCTTCACACAGGTGCCGTGTCCCCCCTCGGCAGCCAGGTGCAGGGCTGTTAGTCCTTCCTGGAACAGAAAAGAGGAGACGAGCAGCGATTCTGTACCCAAGGTCAAGACATAGCTGTGGAACAAGCAAGTCCCTCGCCCAGCTTCCAAATCCAAAGTGTTTCAAAATACCTATTTTGCAGGCCAGGGATGTCTTATTCCAATGACTAGTATAAAAAAAGAAAGCAACTATCAGCCACCAGTGTATCAGAGTCCTGCTCTATCCTTATCCCACTGGAAACTGCTGACCCATAGGCCATACAACAGACACTATGTTCATTACCCTTTCTTCCCTTGAACCCCCTTGCAAAAAGGAATTTTACAGGAACATTCCCTGAACACCTCAGGAAGTCATAGGCAAAACTGGTAACCCAAGGCCCTGGACCATTGGTTCTCCTTTCTGAAGGCCATGGCTAATTGCATCACGAGAAAACAGAATCCAGGGGAATTCCCAATTCAATTTTATTATTGCTCCTTAAACAGAAGGGCAGCTCTTCTGAAGCAGACAAATGCTACCAGAGTTGCTACATAAGATGGTTTTCTTATTCTTTCAGATCTTATCAGATTTAAATATACTTTGCAATGAAATGAGACTAAAAAAATGCTGATAGACTTAATTGAGTGTGTGCCCTGGAATATATATATCTTTACCTAGCTAATATTTGCTCTCTAAGTCTTTAAGTTTGTTCCAAGCATAGAGTTTTCACAAGTGAGTCTATCAAAAAGAGAGGATCTCAAATATCAGGGCCATATGTTCAATGCTTAAGTCAATACTACAAAATACACTGAGGTTTAGCTTAAAACACCTTCAATAATGATTTAGGCACTAGAATGTACACAGGTCAGGGAGAAAAAGGGAGATAATTAAGTGATAAGGCAGGTCACCATGTACAGCAGGAAAAAAATGAGACACTTTAGAATTGGATACTGGCCCAAGGAAGATGTTGCCTTTAACTGATACTCTGCAAATGTGTCCTGCTTTTTACATGTATACGATTTAGAAAAAATCAGTTATCTTTCAAACTTGTTCCATCAATGCTAACCATTCACCCTAATGACTACAGCAGAAGAACACTTCTAAAAAAGGAAAGGGTAAAATTTACATAGTTTTCTTTTGATTTAATGTACTTACTAAGTTCTTTTCATCAAGGTCCACTCCAATGCCTAAAATCTTCTGCAGCACAGACAGATGTCCATTTTTAGCAGCTAAATGCAATGCTGTATTCTTTTCCTGGAAAACCAACAAGTTCATATTATATAGATAAATATACACAATATAAATAAACATACATATATATGTCTCACAGGACTGAGTATTCAGATACAGTATATTTTCAAAGAGGACATCCAGAGTGACAGAAAAGGAGATTCTAACCAGTAGCAAGGATATGAAACAGTTTTCTAACAGGAGCAGCAGAAGACAAGAAACCCAGCTTTCTTAAACTGAAATGAGCTCCATCAGGTCACTGTGCACGCTGGACAAAAAGCCCTGGACAGAAATCCTGCATGGACTGAGATGCAAATGGTTTGCAAGTAGATGGGGAAGAAAACCCCTGGTATGCCACAATCACAGAACAGCTGCTCACAACCTGCTTCCACTAGCCTCCTATGGTAGCCTCTTCCCTGACACTCAGATCCTCTAATCTGTGGGCTTTCCCATACTTTCAGTGTGGGGTTTTTGCCCATACCTTGTCTTTAGCACTGTGAGAACAACCCAGTCGAATTAGGAACTCCACCACGTCCAGCTGCCCATACTCTGCAGCCAGGTGAAGCGCTGTCCTCTCTGCCTTTGAAAGGAAGTAGAAAGAAATAGGGTCCAAGAATAAGAAACAGAGAAAAGTAGAAAGAAAGCAGAGAAAAGTAGAAGGAAATAAGAGTCCAAGAAATAGAGTCATACAGTGATGCCTTGGGCAGTTAATCCAATTGCACAGTGAGTTTAGCGCCCACAGAGGGAAACAAAGTGCTGCGCTTCATAGACAGTTATCCAAAGCACCAGCTGTAAACCCTTACTCTGCTTTAGATTTGGGATGATCCTAACAAAACAACCTGAACAGAACCACCCACTGGTGCTAACAACTCCAATCACTTTGGCATCACCAAGCACTTTTCCATGTTTGTTTCATACAGGGGAGCATAGGAAGTTTATGAAGAGCAATTAAGGATAAAATACAGAAATAAAATGTGAGAGCTTTTTTATCAATGAGTCAGATACTCTTTGGGGTAAGGTAGATCTTTTGTTCCTTCATTTAAGCGCTGTGCTGCAAGGAAGGGTCACTGTAGGAATTATGGTGGCCAGCAGGAGGAGAAGTGTGTGTGCCAGGCCCTGCATGTTTCTGCTTCATCTTCAGAGATGGACCAGCTGATGCTGGAACATGCTGGGAGACGGTTCCTTGCAGTTATTACTTAACATACACCACACCCTGGGTGTTGGCTACAAGACAGAAGGACAATGAAGCTCCTGAATCTGTTCTCCAGCAGCCAGTGTCCGAAATCCCCAGCTGCCAAAGCGTGGGATCCCCTTGGCACTTTGCAAACACCATCCAAGTGGGGTTCAGCCACGCTCCTCCCAAGGTGAAGGGGGACACTTGTGCCAAGGACTGCAGAGCAAGATCAGGCCCCGTGAAGCAAGCTCGTGCAGAGCCTTCCTACCTTGTCTGTCTCATCCACACACATGTCCTCCAGGTCTTCCATGATGAACTCCAGCACCGGGATGTGTCCTCGCTGAGCTGCGCAGTGGAGCAGGTTCCTGCCATTCTGCAGAGGAGATAAAGGACTATTTGCTGAAGAAGTTCAAGACAGCAGGACTTTTTTTTTTTAACAGCTTGTTACTGCTAGCAAAGATACATCCAATGCCTCCCTTAAATTTCAGAGCTAAGCTAACTAGTGCTACAAACAGGAAGCTGTGACTCCAAAATGCTGGTGCTCCTTTTCTAATCAAGGTCTATTTGTAAATACAGGGACTGCTGAATTATTAAACCCATTTCCCATTTCTGTAACACCTTCCATCCCAGCACTGCACAAATTTGAGCTGAGAAAGCCTTGTGCATCTCTACAGCTACAATCATCATAGCTGCTTTAGGAATAAGTCATTTAAAGGTGAAGATGACTTCACCTGAGGTCACACTGTCCAGGGGATATGCAGATGGCAGCCCCACAGCAGATGCTGCCACGTCACCTTAGCTCACAGGAAAACCCTCCTGTCTCTCCCTATCACCCTCTGGCTCTGCCACCACACAGATTGTTTCTCACCTTATTGACACAGTTAATTTTGGCCCCGGCATTGACGAGGATCTGCAGGACACGGAGGTGTCCGAACCAGGCAGACAGGAGAAGCGCGTTCATCCCAAACTGAGAAAAGGGGAGAGATATGTTCTTAGCTAAACTGCTGACCACTACCATCCCCATCCTGGAGAAAAGTTGTCCCTCTAACTTCATGAGGTTTCCCAGATGTTTCTATTTCTTTATTTTTTTGCCCACTCTTTCACCTGTTACTATTACTCCTACCAGATGGTGTCAGCAGCTAAGTAGACCTGCCTCTTGTCTACCACTTCCTACTCAATGATTCACGTTACTCTGGTTGTTGGGAGGGAGAAAATGAACTTGCTGGCTGCCACTCCCTCCAAGAAGCCCCAGTACTACGACCAGAGGAAGCTGGATGGCCTGATGCTACAGAGAAAACCTCCCAAAATCTCCCAGCCATGTCTCCTGGTCACTGGGGATTCAGGGAAAAGGCCAAAAAACAGAGCACACCACATCCTGACCTCAGGCTTGCTCCCAAAGGATACTGCACCACCCTCGGCAGGGCTGCCACAGCTTTCCAAGCATTGCAATGCATTGGAATAAGGTGCAGTCTGTAACTGTCCTCCAGCACTCCCCAAGCCCGGACCACACTTGCAGGGCACAAAAGGAAGATTTGCCTTCATACACTGTCTTCATCATCCACCGGGGCGTCGTGGTCCAGGAGCAGCCGCACGGCCTCCTCATTCCCTGCTCCTGCAGCCCAGTGCAGGGCAGTTCGGTCCGTCTGAAAGGGAAGGAAGGGGAGAGGGAGGTTAATGTGTGTGGGGGGCATGTGGTATCCACTGGCCTTGCCGCAAGCCCAAATCCTCTTTGCCATCCATGCAGTCAGAATTCCCTGCACTATTCAGTGTTCCTGGCAGAAAGTAACCTGCACTGTTCAGCTTCTTTTAGGAACTACAGTAATGTACTACAGTGGACAGCACAGGGATGGGATTGCCCAAGGATGGATGGAATAAGTTAGGAAGCGTGCAAATCCACATTCCCAGAAACCTACTGGCCAACATGGGGAGATCTGCAACAGGAATTTAGCCAGTCCTACAGCCTTGGTGGACAGAGGCAGCAAAATCAAAGCCTTTAATTGCAGCCACGTGCAGGAGCCATGGAGTCACTGGCTCTAAGGGAGCCCTAAATTATCATCCTTCCTCAGTGTCTGCAACTTTGCAGTCTGCCCAGGATGCCAGTGCTATGGGCTTCATGCTGTCAAACTGCTCGCTTGCCACAGGAGCTGTTTAAGCCCTGTGTGGTGTGTCCTAAAGCTTTGGCCAACTGAGCAGCTAATGAGGGGAGCAGCATCAAGGATCTGCAGCTCAGAAACACGCCTGCAGTTTGGCAGTGGGAATATCCAGGACTTACGCTGTTCTTGGCTTTGATATCAACCCCTTTTTTGATGAGCTCCTCCATCCTGGCCGTGTCGTTACGCTTCGCCGCGTCGTGGAGCTCCTTCTCGGAATGAAGCACTGCAGAGAGGGCACAGGGCTGGCATTAGAGCAGCACTGCCACGGAGCACAGCGCAGCGCACCCCAAAAACCTGCCAGGCAGCACCCAAGGGCCCGTCTGCCCCAGGATTAGCGTTTTACCTGGGCTGCTTTGTGCACTACTCACTGCGAATAGCAGCACTCGTCCTGCACAGCTAGGCACAAGCCGAGAGCTTTCACTCTCCACATTGGGCCTTGCCCTGGCAAACTTCTCCTTGATTGAACAAACCTCCTTGTCAAACCAAAAAGAGCCCCCGGGCCTGCAGTAGCCTGACAGGAAGGCTCCGAAGGATTTTGGCAAGGCTGGTGCTAGTCTTTGTTGGATTCGGTCCCTGCCCTAATGCTTTGGGGATTTGAGCAGTGCCCGAGTCTGCCCCGCAGCCTGTCACATCGCACTAGGGAGCTGGCTTGGACTCTGCCCATTCCTCCTCCTCTGCTCTGCAGGTCGTACTGCAGGGAATTCTGCACACAGGAGATCCTGGAAGCATAGAGGGGCTCAGTGCAAGCCTCGTTTGCCTGTTCTCCCCAGGGAAGATGCTGTGGCAGCGCTGGGGTCTGGGTTTCTGAGCTCAGCATGGGCTCCCTGCAAACCAAAGGGTCCTGCCGCAGACTCCCTGCACACACTTTACACACTAATGGATTTTTTTTTCTGAATAGATAAGATCTGGCCTCAAGTTTCACCAGTTCCATTTCCAGATTGTTTCCACAAGGGTTTAACCCTTCGCACAGCAGATTTTCCACTGCAGAGGATGGTGCAGTTTTCATCACTTTTTCTCCCCTTTACCTTCCCCTTTCTCCTACTCCATTTCAGTAAGAAGAGGCAGGAGCAGGAAGGAGTGGTGTCTGTCCTGGCAGCTAAGGCATTTGCATCATCTCAGTCCGTTCAAGTTTTAACCCACACTTCAGTCTATACGTGGTCCTTGAATCACACATCTTTGCTGCTATTCCACACTCATCCTAACTTTCAAAATCTTCCTGGCTCATTATGGGATTGTCCAAGATTGTCACTCTCTGGGAGCACAACCATCTTCTATATTTTGGTCTGTGTTTAGAAAAAGGTGCTCCAGTGCTGACTGAGACCTGGGCAGTGCTGAGTGCAACTGAATAAAGACGATCTCATTTTTGTAGACTATTCCTGAGGGTCTTTTGGGGATAATACAGAGATATTTTTATGACTCTTGCAATAGAGTGGGAAAAGCTGCTTTCAGTTGAATGGCTACAAAAGCTGGAAACCAAACCCAAGCTCACGCAGTCAGTGCAGAACCAGTGCAGAGAGGGTCTTTTGGGGATAATACAGAGATATTTTTATGACTCTTGCAATAGAGTGGGGAAAGCTGCTTTCAGCTGAATGGCTAAAAAGCTGGAAACCAAACCCAAGCTCATGCAGTCACTGTAGAACATCAGTAAGTTGCTTCTGCCTGGGAAAAACCATGCCCAAATAGCACCACTCTCCACAGGTCTCCATCACCTGGCTGTCATAAGAGCCACAACAAGGCTGCTTTCCTTGACCAAAAACCAACCCTCAAGGACGTGCTGGCCCGAGCAGGGAGGGCTTTGACCAGGTCAATGTGCTGCACAGGTGAACTCTGAGGATGGTGAGAGGCCAATGATGCCAGGAGAGGTTCTTGGCTGTACAAATCAGCGCATTTCCACTGACTTTGCTGCTGATCTCCATGTGGATAAGCTTTTGCCTTCGCATTTTCCGATGCACAATCCACTTGTGAGCATCCTGTGTTAATACCGAGTGGCTGCAAACATGCATGCACAAGGCTTCATTAAATATCCTGAGAAAACACACACTAGACACTAACCACATGAGATACAAGAGGCATGAAAAAATGTTATGGTTCCCATTTCACAGCGCTGAGGAGCTAAACAAGAGCCTGGCAGTGTACACAGCACTAGCGATGTCTCTCTGGAGGGAGTAGGAAGGCTTTCCTGCTGGACACTCCTGAGGTGGCAATGGTGTCACCCTCTGGATTTCTCACCGCCTGTTTCCCCTATTTCCAGGAAAAAAAAAAATCTATAACCAAAATCTATAATCACAAATTAAACAGATCTTAATACAAGACAGATTTTTTCAAGGGTCTTGGACCTGCTGTTTCACCAATGGCAGCGAGATTTGGTTTCACACCATGCGGACACCTCATTGGGTGTAAATACCAAGAGAATTTGGAGAAACAAGTGGATTTCATGCGAGTTATCAATACCAACAGCTACGCACAGGCTACCTGCTTGCAAATGCTCATCTCTGCTTGGTGGAGAAAACCTCTGCTATGTTTCAGGCAAGCAAATGTTTGGTGACCCACTCTGCAGGTGACAGAAATTCACTTTATGAATGTCCAAAGCATCAGCTGATTTGTCAAGAGATGTCAAATCGTCACTTATTTATTCTTTCCTCCATCTGCTCTTCTGCTTCGTCAAGACACAATAACAAATCATCCACCGCAGAGGCTATAGGGGCTGCAATTTATTTTCAGCAACAAACGGGAACAACTTGGTGATCAGAACATCTCGACACCCACACTAGCATGTCTAGCACTGTAAGAGTAAATGTGCTCCTGATTACAGGGTACAGCTGGCCCCAGGCCGCATTTCAGGGGTGTTTTGGTGTATTTTGGGGAGCATTTCAGTGCATACCTAGCAGCTTTTCCCACCCTCTGGAGCCCCGGGTTGAAGGCGTTTCGCACCTCATGGTACTGAATATAAACGCCATTATCCCAAATAACTCTGCAAATTATTCTAAAAATTCACCAGCAAAGCGACACAGCAGCTCGGGAGATTTTTAAAAAGCAGCAAAGGAAACGGAGGGGCGGAAAGGGGTTAACC